CCCCAAGAAAATCCAGTTGCCACGGCAACCACAAATGTCAAGCGCCATGTGGTGCATAGCTGTTGCCAAGGAAACCGTTTCTCTTTTCGGGTTTTTACCCAGCAGAAAGAGAGGCCTTCTTGAAGAGAGGGGAGAGATGGGCTCAGGTTTTTTGGGGGGGGTGGGGGAGTCCGGCAATTTGTTCAGGGAAAAAGGAAATGATGGAACGGCATATGCATTTTAGCAAAGAAAGAAAGGAAGAAAGAAAAAATCAGGAGCATTATTGCCAGGGGTTTCTGTTTAACTGGGAGCTCCCTCCCCCCCAGCCCCATTTTCCACAATTTGTCCCTGGCAAAAATCCTCGCTTTTTTTTCCTTCTGGGATGATAGCAGAGAATGCTATTATGTAGGGTGTCTATGTAGTGTGTTGGACACCAGAGACACCCCGGGGACCTGTGGACTGTACATGAACGCATTGGTGTGTGTATGTTGCGGGTGCTGCGTGCACCCCCAAACATAGGCACGCGTCAAACAAAACCAGGGAAAGCCTTAAAACCCAAAACGTGCACCCAGGCGACCTAAAACCACAGCAACCCGACTGATGGATGGCAAAGATTTGCAGCTGGCCTGATTCACCTGACTCTACACAGCTTGCACAGAGAAAAGAGTAGCATTGTAGCAACAACCTAAATCAGGGTTTCTCAATCTCAGCCACTTTAAGACGGGTGGACGCCAACTCCCAGAATTCCCCAGCTGGGGGAATTCTGGGAGTTGGAGTCCACCCGTCTTAAAGTGGCTGAGATTGAGAGACACTGACCTCAACGATGAATTAAATTTAAATTAAAACTTGGTAGCCCCTATGCCAGTCTCCATGAAGAAAACCCTTCCTGGAGGACTGTTTTCTTCTAAAGGATATCAAGGGGTGCCCAGCTGACTTAGAGGACAAGCTCTTCCATAATGGGGAGGGGGCTACCATAGTAAAGGCCCCCCTCTGAAGGGGTTGTTCTCCTAAGACAGCTAATGTCACTCAGCAGAACAGAAGGCACGTTCTGTGCCAGCCGCAGCTTTAGAGTCCTCTCCAAGGGCAGCCCCACATACAGCCAATTGCAGTAGTCTAACTGGAAGGTGGCCAGGGTGCAAATCATTGACTTCAGCATCTCCAGGTCCAGGAAAGATTGCAATGGGCAGACCAGCTGGACCAGAAACTGGCCAAACGGAATTCAACTTTGCCAATCTAAATTTCCAAGCTCTCCTCAAAATGCCTTGACAAATAGAGGTCAACATTTGGTTAAGTGGCCCCTCCCTTGTGGGGGGGGATGGCTGACAAGGTGTCCTTGCGCACCGAGAGATGTGGTGGAATTGTGGCAACATTGTGATTTGCTCTCTCTAGAATCAAAATCTCTAAAAGAATATCTCATGCATGCAGAGGGACATCCTGCGTTCCAGGTAGGTTTTGGACTCCAATTCCTATCAGGCTGATCCAGCACTGACAGTGGCTAGGGATGATGGGTACTGTAGTTTGAAATCTTCTGAAGTTGCATTCATTTGTGCGCACAATTTTTACATAGCTTGGGGACAGATATAGTTTTTGATCGATTTATTATGTGCCATTAAGTTGGTGTCAACTCTATTTAAGACCTTCTTCAGCTTGGTCCTTCCACCAATGCACCCATCACAGCTGTAACTGAGTCCGTCCACCTTGCTGCTGGTCATCCTCTTCTTCTTTTTCCTTCCACCTTTCCCAGCATCTGAACCCCCTCCAGAGAGCTGGGTCTTCACATCATGTGTCAGAAGTAGGATAATTTGAGCCCGGTCATCAGTGCCTCGAGTAAGAACCCTGAGCTGGTTTGTTTGATGATCCATCGGCTTGTTTTCTTGGCCATCCGCAGGATTCTCAGGGTCTTCTCCAACACCAAAGTTCAAAGCCATCAATGGTCCTCCTATCCTGCTTGTTCAGAGTCCAACTTTTGCTTCCATAGATGGTCACGGGGAAGACTACGGCTTGCGTGATTCTGATCTTTGCAAGTAGAGACACATGCTGGCATCTGAATATCTTTTCCATTCATGGCTGCTCTGCCAAGTGTTAATCTACGGCATATTTCTTGACTGCTGGTTCCTTTACTCTTGATGGTTGATCCTAAAAGGCAGAAGTTGTCCACCACTTCGGTATCTTCATTGTCATTTCTAAGGCTGGTTGCTGTATTGGTTGTCACCCATCCCACTTTTTCACTGTGCTCCTTGACTTTCACAAGTACGGCTTAAAGTTCGTTTGCATTTTCAGCTCTCAGAGGAGGGTCATCCGCGAGAGTAGTCAAAACTCACCCATATCACGTGAGGGCAGAACTGCTCAACCTTCCTTATATGTGGCCTGACTGCCAAATTTTAAAATTTAATATGGTTGAGGTGATTCTGCCAACTCCTAACATCTGGATTGTACATGAATATTAAATATCTTCTTTCTCCCCCCTCCAGTAAAATTCCCATGGCTGCTCCAAAGTGGAGGGTACCGCCTCCTTTTCTTGATTTGCTAGAGCCAAACTATGCCAGTAAGCCACAATAAGACTCCTTTGGCACTCACTCACTCACTCACTCACTCACTCACTCACTCA